TAGAAAATAAAATACGCTGTATCATCGCTAATACTGGTTCGATTCCGATGAATTATTTTTTGTTTTGTTGGTAATTCAATTACCTTTCAAAGTTTTTGTATAAATGTTATCGTTGAATACATACTTAGTGAGTTAGGCCACAAACATTTTTCTTTTCTTAGTAATTTATTTTCCTGTATTTTCTCGAGAACTTAATACGTGTTCGAAAATTGAAAAGACATTAATTAGGAAGTTATGGAAAAGTTTCATCAAAATTGTTTGAGCCGTTTTACCCCTACAGTCTAGAGAAAAATATATTTTTCACTTACTGCGCATGGAGAATCCAATTTGTGTCAAAAGCATCAGTATTCAAAACCCTACAAAATAAAAAAAGAAACAACAAAACCGGTCCACTAGTTCCCGAGATAATCTTGGCACAGACAGACAGACAGACCAATGGCTAAAAATGTGTTTTTCGGACTCAGGGGGCTCTGAAACAATTAGAACCGTTGAAAACCGCTTAGCGGAAATTTGACCCGATGGCAATACTTCCCTTATCTTACAAGACATAGACAATGAAAAATTCCTTCTGTCAAGGCCTGTGTGTTACTTTCACAAAGTATATTCCATTTTATATCCTTTGCATAATAACTGAACAATACAATTTTTATATTATTTTTAATTACATTTTAATTAAAAAAAAAATGTTTTTAAAATAAACATTAAAAATTTAAAGATTTAACAAATAAGAAATAAAACTATGGTAAAAAATAAATTCTGACTAGGTAATGTATACCCATAACAAATAATAAATAAGACATTCCTCTAATCATTGACAAACTGACTTGGCTGGTCTCTTTGCAATGTGGTTTGCTTTACGTAATTATTAGGGCTGGGGGGTAATTATTTTAAGGATATATCCTTTTTCTGTTAAAAGAAAATCAGATCTCAACAGATATATGCTAGCCTTCATATTCATATGGCGGAAATTTGTCCAGAGAAATTATCAAGACGTAAAACAAATATCTCAGTCCTTGGTACAGACTCCTTTTTATCAAATTATTAATAGCTCCTGAAACTCCGTAAACCGCTCAATTTCATTCATCAACTTACAACTATTTTATTAAGAAAATTTTTGAAACATTGGGACGTTTTCAATCTGGAGGGTGGCAAACTTTGTCTATTTAATTAGGTACTAAAAATTCGTAAATACCCATTTGCTTTCCAATCGAATCGTAAGATAATTAGAGCACAAACTAGAGAAAAAAGGAGTCATTCAAAAATATTGAGCCGTTTGGCGTGACCTATCTGGGCCCAATATTTTTGTACGCCACCTTTTTTCTCGATTTTGTGCTCAAATTATCTTATGATCTAAGTAGAAAGCAAATGGGTAATATGAGTTTTTAATATACCTAATTAAATAGACAAACTTTGCCTCCCTCCAGATTGAAAACACTCCAATTCCAAGAGTTTTTGAAAATAAAATAGTGGTAGGTCACGATGAGATGAAGCTATTCAGGAAGTTGCAGGCGGATGTAAATAATTCGATAAAAAGGTGCCTGTATCACGGACTATATATTTTTTGAGTTTGAGGAAGTTCTCTATTTCCTGCTTACAATTAGATTCAAAGAGAGATTCGTTCTTCACAGGCGCGCAATGCGGTTCACATTTGATTCGATTACTAATTTAATTCTTTACAGTCTATAAGAATACATAACTTGGACAATTATCTTTGTTCCTATTTGTGGCTCCTTCCTATTATTGAATATCCGTCAACGGAATATGAAATGATTTTCTTTCAAGTGAATTATTCGTTGTCGATTCAATGACATTTGACTTTATAAATAATTCGAATTTTATAAAATTTCGATGAATTCGGAGATCATATTTTCAGGAAATTTTTGAAATAATATTTTCTACAATGATATAAATATTGTGACAAGTTCCCAGAACTCATCAATTGAATCACCGATGGCTCAGTATCCCATCCCTTCTTGAGGTGGACGGAACCGCTTGTTGTATCTCTCAATCTTGTTTATATCTCATTTAACTTGGAAATTCAACTGCGTTTTTCGCAAAATATATATTTTTTCCTGTAGTATACAATATATATATTGTTTACTAGGGATGGTGTGTTTAATTAATTCCACTTAGCTACATCTGTGTATGATAACCATAATTTGGTGTGAGATAAATAATACCCGTTGGCCTATAATTGGTTGATATTGTGAGAATTGGTGTGGACTGTATGAGGTTGGATCGCTGAAATTAAATACATGATTATATTAAACAAATAATTCAAAACATTAATTATATTGCATATTATGAATACAAAGAAAAGAAATCAAATTTGGGGACTCGTACAATTCTTTTGTTATTAAAAGATGAAATAAATATTTCTATTTAATTGCTGATGGTGAAATTAAAACATTTTCATATGGCCTTGCCATATTGGAAGTGACTTTGCTTCTGATTAAAATTGCATTGCTAATTTGGACTCTTACTGTGTGAAATTGAATTTCATTTCTTGGCCACCTCACTTACTTCCTCCACCAGGCTGTTCTCTTGGGACTTAGCCACTCATTTTCTTTGTTTTGGGATTTCTGGAGAAAGTAAATGACAGTGTGCACACTTAACCAAATGAATTGGATTAACTGTACAGGAATAGTTTGGAGCAAAATGGTGGTGAAGTTCAGAATTGTTTTCATTTGTTTCTTTTGTGTTTTACGGGTTGACCTGAATAATATAAAACATATAGTAAAGGAAACGAATATTGCGATCGTGGAAAATTTCGAATCCAAAAAATTCATGTTTTCAACAGAACGTTTTGAGAGGCACTGAGTTAAAAATATAAAGTCGAAATTGTCTGGTTTTTTGTGTGAACTATCTATCTCAAAAACAAAAATTCGTACAAAATATTAATAACGTGTTTAAGTTAATTACATGCCAGGGATATTACGGCAACGTTTCCTTGAAAATCTTCTCACCAGATATCATCCATTTTCTCAAAAAGCGCTCTAATGGTTTTGATTAAACTCGTTATAATAATGTGAATTAAATCAAGTCGTCTTTAATATCAAGCCAGTGCTATCTTCATTGAAATAGGCTAACAGGGCTTAAATGTCGAATTTTCAAAATTTCTTTCTGTAAAGTACCTTTAATTTTGTTTATTTAAAATAATTATCCATATAAAATTGTAACTATCAATAAAAACAGATAAATAGAAACTATGATCGAAAATGATAATTAACTAGAGAAGAAATAACGGCCAGTTACAGATTGGAACCGTTAAATCCGAAGCAGGCATAGGCGCTCCTCCAAATTTTCCAAATAGCGCTTTCTCAGTGTTATTTATTGTTAGTTTAACTGTTAACATATTTAACAAAAATATCTTACACATAATTTTCAATGAATATTTTCACGTGAATGTTGAGGATCTACTAATACATGTATATTTATAATAAAGAAGAGAATGATGGTTGGGGTGATCAGTCAGAAATAAAAAGGTAAAAATAAATAATAATAATTTTCTAGTCACATCCTTCAGGTTTGGTGCCATTTTCTCATAAGTTTTATATATCTATTTTAGTCCAAAGGTCACCAAACGACAAAATCAAAATCAGCCACAGGACTATCGCAGCATACCAGAAAAAATGGACATAAATTTGATTTCGGTACTGCTTCCGTGTTGCATACAGAACAGAATATTGGGAAACGTAGAATAATTGAATCCATTTTTATTACTAAAAAATCTCGAACATTCGGTAAATCAACAGACAGATGTAGATGACTTAAACACGTTTTATGCTAGCTCAATTGACAAAATTAAAATATAACACGCTGATATAAAACAGCTGATCCCTAACCCCTCCACCCCACTCATTTTTTAATAAATCCAGTCCTGTATGAATGACTTAGTGAGCAGCAACAATTTCTTGATATCGTCTGCGAAAGAGGGACATAAATCGAGAACTAATAATATTCTTTTTAAAAATAATATTAACAATCTATTTTAATTTATTATTTATGTATTACAATTTTTTAGAAATGAAAAAACGACTTTCTTTGAAATAAAAGAATGACTAAATGACGAATCATTTTGCAATGATAGAACTTAGAAATTTTATGAAGCGGTGTATGGTAGGTAGATGACATAAATTTAATAAAAAAAAATTATAAAATAAACTTTGGACTATTTGTATTACTAATGGTTGTTAAATAATATGTGTCTGATAAGGATGTATTTGAATAATAAAAACTGAATTAAAATTAGTTTTACAGGATCTTGAAAATATCTCCTGAAGCCGAAACGTCGAATAAAGAATACAGGATATAAAAACTGTGTATATTTGGTGACCTTTGGCCTAAAATATATATATAAAAAACTTATAAATAAATAAATAATTATAAAAACTTATAAATAAATATTTATTTTTACATTTGCCGACTTTTCGACCTCAAGTTGAGGCCTTCATTAGGGCTAAGGAAAGTCAAATAACTTCAGGTCGAAAAGTCGGCAAATGTTAAAAAAAAATATTATTATTTATTTTGCCTTCTTATTTCTGACTGATCACCTCAACCATGCTTCTCTTAATTATTTACGACAGTCAACCATCAACCCATAATTATATTTATAATAGATATTTACTAATATAAACCCCCTTTTTTAACGTGTTTCTTGGTAGTTTTTTTGATAAAGTCCAGATTTTTTACGAAAGACCACATTTTTATCTATTTTATTTTAATTGGAACATTTATTTTTGAATTTGTCTAGTAACAAGCGATTATCTTAAAACATTCGAATATCTCTTTTAATCTTTTTGTATGACAATTGACTGTTTTAAATGGATCAGTTATACCCTCTATAATCTTCACTTTCACTACGACACGTATGGAATTATCTATTTCTACAAAAGATAGAGTGGTAAATGAATGTTGTTTGATGTGCATACCGCACCAGATATTTTAGAAATATGGTTGATAAATTTTGAATCAAGGTGAGATGATTCAAGGCTGCTCTGATGGATCGTTCACTAAGGAGCCACTATATTCAACCCGCGGTCCCGATAAGAGGACCAGTTCTCTTCGGAGACCTCCATCCCCAACCTGATGATATCATCCACCTCCGCGTACTCCGGATGACGCTGCGCCCTGTCACCCGGGAGTACCCTCGGCCCGCGATGATCGCCCACTCGACAGCTCACGAACACTATCGCTGGCTACTACAACGGCCTCTTGTCTTCCTTGAGAGGCTCTTCAATGGTAGGCGAGAGGCGAGGTGGATAGGTCGAGTCGACATGGATGCCGCAGAGCCGCACGCAGAGAGGAACAGCCCGAGGCAGGCAGGGGTGGTGAAGGCGGCGGGAGACTTGCAAGGTCTGTGAAGTCAAGAAAAAAAATATATTTTTTAATAAATTGTTTGAAGACCTCGCAAACAGATTAATTTCTTATAAAAATAAATATTCTACAAAATTAAAGTTGCCATAATTTCCTTTTTGCGTTATTTATATTAGGTTAAACATAAATTCCTATTACGAAATTGAAGATAGAATACGAACCCATCATCATATTTTATTCTATTTTATTTGATTGTATACAAATAATATATGTATAATGCTGTACGGAGCCAGGCGTTGCTGTGGCTCATTCTGGATGAATAGAAAAAGGAAAGCAGATAATTCTAATGTAATTATGTTACAGTATGTTTGTATTATATGCAATATTGTTTGTTGTTCTATCCTTTGTATAGATATAGAGATTGTCTGGTTTTCCACTCTAAACACGTAATTGTCCATGTGAAAAGCAATCCGTCTATCAATCTCCAAAGAATAAGTACTAAATGTTTAAAACATTATACCTCTACACCAAATCGTCTTATTTTAGTGATTTTTTTTAATTTGCAGGAAATTCAGAAAAAAAAATCAAATAATCATGGCTATAATCAATCAAAATTGTGAACTTTTGAGTTATTCGCAAATATCGTTCTGAATCCATTGTAACTTTGTTTTCATACTCTTTTCGGGGAAGGATGTTATATACAAAAATTAAAGAGGCTTCATGGAGAAGACTTTAGCCAAGTTTAATTCAAATCGTTTCAGCCGTTTAGGCGCTACAGTCTATAGCGACACAGGTTTTTGGGCCTCCATTTCGAAACGTAAGACCGGACGGTGATTAGATGTATATAAAAACACTCCTGAATGCGATAGAAACATTATGTCAATATTTCAAAGCAATCGGTGAAGAAGTTTCAGAGATTAGCGGTTTTTAACAAACGAACATTTATATATTTATTTATATAGATTAATTAATTAATTAATTTCAATTCCAATTAATTTGAATTTCATTTGTAAAAGGTGTATCTCTGTTAAAAATTAAAAACCACAGATGGTAAAGAAAGAAATGTGAAAACTCTCTCCCTCCTCAAAAAATCAAATTTATTTTTTATGCTGTTTTGTATCAAGTAGTTATTAAATTTTATTTCATTCACTATTTCTGTAATACAGTTGCATTATTAAATTATTTATATTATAAATTATATTAATACGTTTTGTATTTTTTTAAATTTCTGACAAGTGGCAATCGGCGATGATTACAGTGTACTAATTAAATTATAAGTAATCTCAGAGTGAAATAATAGCGTAAAGTTTTGTTTTTACAGAGAGTTTTGTTGTTATTTTTACTATAAGATAAATTTAAGTTTACACAAATACAACGCCTAAGATATACTCTTGTTATATATACTTTTTTTTAACGTCGTATTTCGGGGTTTGATATTAATAACTTTTATATTCTGTTGAGTAAGGCATTGGCCACCTTGAGTATAGCAACTGATTGAGATACATGTTGTATGTTAGTTTATATTTTTAAAAGAGAAATGTTTCTAAATTTTTTTTTTTAAACAAAGGCCGACTGATGGCTTTGCTTGGTGTAAATCCTTTACGAGCGGACCGCAAAGGTTTGCCATGGCGACTTTCCTAAACCACACCGCGGTCCCACCATCTCCCTGGTTATTGTTCCCTCAGCGATTTCAAAACCTTTCAAATCTGGATTTCCTACTTCCTTTGTGGTCGCGCCGTTTCGACTGCATTGCAAAACTCACTTTAAGGGAGAACTCAACTCAAGTATCTTTTCTCCTTCAAATTGTTGCTGGCTTATTTCCGTATAAAATGACACTTTCATTTCTAGGTTCGAGAAGAGACTATCCAAGTATTTTTTTTTTTTTTTTTGTTCTCTGTCGGTTGCTTTTTTTTTTTATTTCTTAATGATACTTACAACAGCATTAAACAAATACATTTAGTAAATTTGAACATATGGATATAATGACGTGAAGACACTTGTTGATTAACTACCCAATGGTAGGCACTCTAATGATATGTCTACATTAGAAGATCACGGGGCCATCTTCTTTTCAGACGCCTAGGAGTGTTGTCAGGAATTGAAGAGGAAGCAAGGTTAGAAACGAGAGGGTTGGGATGATTCTGAAGTTTATTATGGAAGGATAGGTATCTGGATTGGACCAAATCTGAAACATAAAAAACATTGAGGTCATTATGGATAGTTTTATTAGTTGGAAAAAAAAGAAGAAAAAAAAAAGGTTTAAGTGTGGGGTAAAAAAGGTGCTGAGTAAATAGCATTGAGAATTTTCCAAAGACTTTGGATTGTAAAGATTGGATTCGAGAGGAATTTGATGGTTTAGTGGAGCCCCATAGCTCAACTCCGTAAGTCCAAATAGGCCTTATTATAGTCAAGTATATGAGTCTTTTGTAATTAATTGGAAGTTTAGAGCGTTGTCTAGTAAGGGCTGGAGTATTCAGTAACGTCGAGCAGTTTCTTGTCGTTTCGGTCTGGTATAAATTCTGAAAGTTAAAATAAAATTTCTAAAGTAGAAAAATATTTTTTATTTTATAGAATATTTTATATTTTTATTATATTATAATATTTAATATTTTATTATATATTATTATTTATTTTATATTATATTTTTATAGAAAAGTTTTTAATTTTCTCACCTTTTCAGAACTTAATACTTACTATGAAATATATATTCAAAAAATAACTGTGATCATGAAAAATTATTGTCGTTTCAGTCTGGTATGACTGTCGGTTGTAACTTGCAGAGCACACTGTCCACTTTTCTAACCACATAGGGAGAAAGATAATGAATGAAAAACTTGGTATTTTTTGAGTTATTTGGAAATAAAATTTTGTATACATCGATAATTTTTTCACACCTTTTTACTTTCCTAGCTATACTAGGTAAGGAAAGTATTGCAATCGGGTCAAATTTCCGACATGCGGTTTTCGACGGATCTATGCGTTTCACAGCCCCCTGAGTCCGAAAAACACATTTTAAGCCATTGGTATGTCTGTCTGTCTGTCTTTGCCAAGATTTTCTCGGGAAGTACTGAACCGATTTTGTTGCTTCTTTTTTTATTTTGTAGGGTTTTGACTACTGATGCCTGTGACAGAAATTCGTTGCAATAGCTTGCGCGCATTAAATGAAAAAAACATGTTTTTCTATAAACTGTAGCGCGAAAACCGCTCTAACGATTTTGATGAAACTTTTCTATTATGTTCTAATCATTGTCCTTACAAAGCCATATAAAAATCGTTCATTTTGGACAATTATTAACGAAGTTACAGCTATTTAATTTTCAATGAATGATTACGAGTTCATTTCGTGGAGTCAGGAAGGGGCGAATGAGAGAATAAAGATGACTAAGTGAAAGTAAGAAAATTTGTTGCCCGCATCACACAATCTTAAGTATTTCCTCTAATTTTAACAGGAATCATTGTTTGACAATACTAAGCTATGGCAAAAAGTTTTTGATCAGCAATATTAGTGAGTATTGAAATTTTTACAGTGATCCACCTTAAGCCGGTTTACATTGCTTTAGTTTATCAAATAAACCATACTCAAATCTTTTGTTTGATCAATTTACAGGAAAATAAATTTAGTCCAATTCTGTTTTGTTTTTTCATGAACATATGTAAAGATATAAAAACTTTTCTGAAATAGGTAGGAAAGTCCAGATTTTTTACTTAGGTATGGTTAGGATAATAAAAATTTAAAAAAAAGGGCTAAGAGAAGTAAAACGGCCTGGGGGTAAAACCAATATTAGCAATTAAAAAAGAAATAGTTTTTAATCGTTAGAAAATTGGATAACATGTATACAGTGGATCAGACAAGTATTGGTACACTCCATTCTTTATGCAAATCTCAATAGAATTAAGATATTTTCCATAAATGATATTTATACAACAAAGTGGTCTTTGAGTATTATAATTTAGAAGCAATGTTCAGAAATCAAAAGCTATGTTTAAAGTAAAAATCAAGAATAAATTTTGAGGGTCAAAAAAGTATTGGCTCAGTTTTAAATGTTTACTATTAGCTCCAGTCGAAACAAATTAATCCGTTTTCTTTCGAGAGATTAGAAACGAGGATTGACGATGAGAAAAATCAACCTTTGCTGTATATTTGCTATAACAACATGGACAAACCAGTAAATATTGTGTCAGTGCAAAAAAAAAAAAACATTAAGTAACATTCTAATGGACTTAGCTACCGACAAATACCGAATAAATTAGAAATGGGTTTTAGTAGTGTTCAAAATATTGCACAAAAGCTTAGAAAAATTAATTAAGTATTTTTTTTTTACCCCTATATTGTATTTTTCTAAATATTTTATTAAATAAAAATGTATAACAAAATAATTTCGAATTCCTCTGAAACCTGAACAACGAAACAACCGGATGACAATGAAACCTGAAAAACGTTAAGTGTGCCAATTTGATCCACTGTATATATATATATATATATGTATGTGTGTGTATATATGCTGTTTGAGATCCAATAGTGCCTTGTTAAGCATTCATGCATAACATCTTACTACTGCTAACATTTGTATAGCGGATATAATTTAATTATTAATAGGCTATAGTGTAATATAAACTCCTCCTCTCTCGATCATAGAGGCATCAAATCGAAGAAATGAGACATGTATCCAATGACAGTACTACAATTAATGTAAGGTTGTGAGGATGCGAACCCTATACCTTGCGTTATCTCGAAAATAGTACGTTTTGGGGATTAAAAACGAAGGATCCGGGTCTTGCTGTACGCATCAAAATCTTCAAGGTCCAATTTGTCCCGCATCGATCTACAGACCTACCACCGTTCCAGTATTGAAGCCTAGCAAAATTTTTGTATCGACTTTATTTATTTTAGATAGAAAAACAAAAGTGGAGAATACGATTCGCTAACCCTCCGTGAAATTCTGAATCCAACGGTACCCCATTCATTGTATTTGAGCATGACAGGAGCTTATATTTGGTAAAAAACCGATTTCGAGCCTTACTGTAATAATATATGTGTTGATGAGGATTGAACTCAATTTAAGTTTACCACTAACCATAACTTTTAGGTGACTGGATAGAAAATAACATCATTTCTTTACACAACTTCCGGTGAATCTCAAAATTTTTCCTAATAAACTTCAATTTAATTTATATGGACTTATTATTATAGCTCATCAAACGATAAATAGCTTATTAATATTAAATTTTGTCTAGTGTGCTATGGACCAAGGTTTAATTACTTGAATAAAATATTTTTTAAGTTATCGCTTAATAATTAACAAAATACGTGACTCATTTATAAAAACACAAATCTTGAATCACCTACTATTCAGCTGGAAATTGGGAAATTATTTACATGAACTTATTTGTAGCTGTTGAGTTATGTTATCATCCCTTTAAATATTTCCCTCTACTGTATTTACGAAATACTTTAGGAAACCCTGTAAATGTATTTTTTAAATATTTTGGTTTGAGATATTCAACAACAATCTCGATTGATCCAGTTGAGGACCGAAACAAAACAGGTCGTCTTCACAATGGAACATGTGGTAAATCTTTAGAACGAAATATTTCTGCGCCAAATCGTACGATTTCAATTATTCTTTTTATTTTAATTTTTAAGAAATTTCGTAAACTATCAAACAAACATTTAAGCCAAGAACCTTTTGTGAAATTAAAATACTTAATTACTATAATATAAAAAAACGTCCATACCTTTTGAGTTATATGGAAATATAATTTTTGCATCCCTCACTTCTTTTCGGGGAAGTATGACATACACATAAATTCAAGAAGAATACTTTAAGTTATAAGGAAAGAAAAATTTGCAATCCAAATTCAAAATTATCTGAAATTTGAAATGGTTCCCGACGAGCGAAATAAATATTTTCTTTTTTTGTCAATTGAGGTGTATTTCTAGTCTCTAAAGCAGACCTCTAGTCTCTTAATCAAGTCTTTAAGCAGAATTAAAAGAAAGATTTCATAACAATTCAGTGAAAATAGAAATTATTAGTTATCCAAATCCAAAGCCTATTTTGTACACGTTTTTCAACACGAGCTTACGATTTATTCTACCGCCGTGAAAATATCGCCCTGGATAGCTTAGACTTTGGCATTGATATTGAGCTTTGAAAGGATGTTGGCATTTTTAGTCGAGGCAAGAACGTATTGTGTCCACTTTTTCATCACTTGGGATCACTGTGCGGGGTACGGCGGTCTGACGGTATGTTTTTATTGGATTTTGAGTTATACATTCGCGATATGTATAACCTCGTAGAACGTAGAACCTCAAATTTTGAGAGGGGATAAGTTTTAAATTATTTTGGTCGATTACAACGGTTCATTATTCAACATATCTGTACGTTTCGAAAATAAGTGTTTAGAAAAATGTAGAGATCGAGAGAGTCTTAGTTGCTATCGTTTTACTACAAAGTACAATCCTGCTATTCCCACCTACACTCTTCGCCGATATGATAACACGACCTAGAACACCGCACTGCCAACAGCACCACTGCTCCTGGAGCTGTCAGGAAGGATAGCACGACATCGCACCTTGACTGCTGAGCAGTTCCAACGAAGTACGCTCCTTTCTATTCCAGTAAAGCAGTGGTCAACTGCCACCAGTGCTAGCGAGTCTTGATTTTCTTAAGATAGATAAGAGACCAAGAAGCCTTTAACTCCTCATCAGCCAATGTAGCCTGCACCAGAGGCCACGCACAGAGTTCCTCCCCGCCGATCCTACGAGTACCCTGCAGCTGGAAGTCCCAGCGCAGCGAGCAGCTGAGTTCCCACGCGGCCACGTGACCCGCACGCACTCCGCACGCTCCTCGGCCCCGATCTAGGGGGCTGTGTACAAAACCTTGTTGGCCCGCCAGGGACTCGACAAATAATGGCTGTAGTATTTGGTTTATTACGCGTCATCGGCAATCTTTCTTGTGAGGCGCACTGTTGTAGAGTGGAGGAAACGCGGACTTAGAACGACAATTTAAATCACGATTTCTAAGGTTTTGACTTGATTTCTGAACCCAATATGTTTGAAGAATTTTTTTTTCTTGTACACTAAGGCAAAACATGGCATTGATTCAGCATTCATTTCTAAATTCTGTAAAATATTGCATTTTACTCTAAAGTCTGCAAAATATGGCGATATGGCATTTGAAGGGGTCTGGTTAAAAGTTATACCCGCATAAAAACTCAAGAAGTATTTTATACTACAAGGTATTTTAGTGCAAATAGATGCAACTTCAGTTCCTGTCAGAAATAAATATGAAATGGACTGTTCTTAGTGCCCGATGTACAACGCAGTACGGTCAGTACGATACGAGCTGCAGGGTTGTCCCACAGAAATAAAGCAGAGCCTAAACTACTAACCTAGATCAGCCATGCACCAAAATCTTTTTAATGCGTTTATAAGAAGCATCCAAGGGAATTATTTAAAATTACATCTGTTGCTTGCTGAGCCATGAGCACAAAGCATTCCAATCCAGGCGCACGCCAAGAAAACCTTAACTGAACAGGTAAAAAAACTAATCGAAAGTAAGTAGAAAAAACGGATTGGATATTGCACCTGCAGAGGTCGCTAACAAAAACCATTCGATGAAGGGGTCCTTGGTCTAATTGGGGCAAATCACGAACATTACCGCTCACGGAAGGTACCATATCCATCGGTTTCCATGGCCACCAGGTACCGTACCCGTCGGTTACCATAGCGACCAGGTACCTCTTACTAACCACAGTCATTACCGAAAGCGGTGTCACTGCCTCTACTCCTCCGCCGCCGCCAAATAATTGCCCTACCTGTGCTGTGCTCTAGCGAGCTCTAACTGTAATTAAGGTCTGCAGATGGATATTGCTCGAATGGCGGCGACTATTGAACTCATTTCTAATATTTTGGGTTGTCTTAGGAGATGGGCATAACATCAGCCTCATTAAATTTTGAATTTTGAAAGATTCAAATTCTGTTAAAAAAATATTTTGACTAAGTCCTCAATTCCCTATGATTAAAACGTTTTGCAGGGGCTCAATACCACATTAAGATTTGCCTGGACTATGGAGGCAGTACACAATTATATAAGCCATGTTGACCATTATACACTTCCCCTTTTAAGCATTGACCAAACTCGCGGGGAAAATATCTGCCTTGTTTAGCGTACTCAGCTGTTTCTAGTTCTTCTTTCTTATTGTAATTAAGTCTTGTTTTCATATAATAATAAGAAGCCATCTTCGATCTCAATAATTCAGTGAGAGCTAAATATTATCCACAGATCTACAGCTTAATAATTTGGGATGGGCGAGTTTTGGATATTGTGGAGAGTATTTATTTAGTGATCAGTGAAATTAACATGAACTTTAAAATTAAAAAAAAGGTATTATATTAAACAAAAAAATACAAAAAAGGAAGATTATCTGTATGATTTTAAAGGTGAAGATAAAAAAAAAAAAAAAAAAAAAAAATTAAATGAAATTTTCAGGTTTGCTAATATTTGTCAATTTTTACTTTCACTTACGTATATATGTAATATATATAAGTGTAAGTATTGCGATCGAGAACATTTTTGAATCTGAGTTTTCGACGGATTTATACGTTTTGAGGTACCCTGAGTCGAAATGACCAAGTCCCGACAAATGGTCTGTGTGTCTGTGTGTTTGTATGTTAGCAGTCTAGCTCAAAAACGTAAAGTCCTATGAAACTTATATCACGTATTTAAGATAGGTATATGCCTTAGATGTGACGGCAACTTTTTCCTTAAAATCGGCTAACCGGAAGTGCCACTTTATATCAACGCTGAAACACATTTTCACAGTTTTCTCGAAAACGGCTCTAACGATTTTGATTAAACTCGGTGTATCATTGTATAATTAAGTGGTCTTTAATATAAATTAGGTCTTATCCCCATTGATGTCACTTTACAGGGCTTAAATGCCCAATGTTCATATACGTCTTCCTCTAAAGTACCTTTAATATGGTTTATTTTAAAAAGATAATTATTTCGCATTATTCAGAGTAACGACAAAATGCTAAATATAACTTTTGAAAGAATTTGATAAGTTAATAAAGGAGAAAAAAAATAAAAATGCAGAAAAACGTAGCTATAGGCTGTAGCGCATAAACGAATGTACCGATTTCATTGAAACCATAAGCTAAAATCATTTTCTCGACACCCTTCAAATTTATCTATATAACATTCATCAGCGAAAAGAAGCTGAAAAAAAGTTACGAGGGATGGTAAAATTAAATTCCGAATAACTCAAAAAGTATACACTTTTTTTGGAATTGTTTTCTAAAAGTTTATGGAATAGCCTAAAAAACAAAAACAAAAATGCTAAAATCGGATAATTAGGAGATAAGATATGGTCTTTAGTTTTTTTTTAATACGTTCTGCTGCAATGGTTATATCCTTTGTTTCGGTTTTTGAATTTTGAATGTGTTAATAAGGTAATACTAATTTTTTTTTTTTTAATGCAATTTAAAACATTTTATAATAGCCTAACATGGCCAGAAAATAATTTTTATTCAAAGTTCAAAGAGTAAGTGAAAGTTGTGTGTTGCGCGCACCAGATTTTTAAAATAAAAATTCATGAATAAATTAACGAATGCAATTATTCGCTACTTTCGGTAGCGAAGAAGACTGAAAAATTAATATATCTTGCAAGTTAACTTCCTAAAATTAATATTTCTTTAGCTTCAATGTTATTATATAACAAACAGTCTTCTCTATCTAACAAAATTTCAAAGGCTTTGATAGTAAGAGTACCCTTGTTAAACGACGTAGAAAGGAATCCATCAATAGTAAAAAGAAAAAGGAAAGAAGTTGCGTTGGTGATAACTGGGCATTCAGCTCGGGCGAACTCCACCTGACAGGTTCCTCTCATCTCAATTCCGCGATAGGCCTCGGGATTCCTGGCACGGCCGATCGATCAAATGGATGCTGAGGTAGGACAGAAGAAGGGCTTTGATTTAGAGGGTGAGGATGGACATGGAGGGGGCATGCCTCGACGTGACATTCCGCTGGTGAAGAACTCGGTGGCCGGAAATGGAAGTGGAAGAACTCCATGTCCTATAAGGCCACCTTAAAGAAGAACTGGATGTCCTATAAGGCCAAACTGCCTCCGTGTAGCAATCCAGCCCGGAGGACCACTCCTTCTCTCTTCTCATCTGGAGTAAGGTCCTCCTCGTTTGTCCTTTTGTAGCTATCGGTACCGGCAATTTAAAAAATTTGTCTCCTGCGGGGCAACACACTTCGGGGCATCTTGGACAGGTTTTGCAGCTCTCTTTTTATCTTCGGACTACTTTTTTTTGTTTTTCTTAGTCAATATTTACACTTTTAAAAACTCGTTTTTTATTTTATTAGTAGTTCCTACAATATAATTTCAGATGCATTAAGTGTTGCGTCCCTTACCTTATTCTAGACTATGCATGATATTCTTACTGCGACGAATTTTACGAAATAATAGTATTAACATTTTTTCATTTCAGGTCAATGAATTAAATTCGTGTTGAATAATAAATATTTTAAATTTTATTTGTTTCCCAGGAAAGAGATAAAACATCGCAGGCAACTCCCAATGTTCTTTTATACAATTAATGTAAATCTGAAATTTGAATTCTATTACAAGATTTAATAGATAATAGTAAAAATATATAAAAGTGTTTAATGAACGTGTTAATAAATACAAGTTATTAAATTAAGCTTTAATTACTCAACTACAGAATACTGTGTTGTTAAAAAAATCTTTGTAAAAAAGTTTATACCAATATTGAAAATTAAAAGAAAATAATTTGTCTCAATCCTTAGTTAAAATGAATAAATAAAAAACTTCATTACTAATAGTATGTCGTTTTCACTTTTGGAATTTCCGGAAATTCTTTCCATATTTTGTCGACCCATTTATCAAATAATGGTCCGTGCCCTCCACCTCTGCCATCGATCCACAGGTTGGCCGCGTGGCACAGCTCGTGAAGTAGCGCATCGCGAACCTTAGAGGCGTCGTTGGTAGCAGTCCTGGCAAGTTGGATGACAGGAGACGGCATTTTGCCGTTTTTGTTTTCGTTGACATCGAAGGAACATTTCGTCACACCTGCAGTTGTAGTAAGCTCATCAGACCACTTTATTTCCAATGGTGGCAGCTTTCCTGCAAATATTTCCTTATTGAATAATTTAAACAATAGATGGGCGAGTTCGTTTTTGTGCTTTGAATAAGATATCCCTCTGTATTTAACAGCTCCTGGATGACACATTCCATGAGGGACTTCTGGTGTCAGAGATAAGAGGAAGGAAGTATGGTTAGGGTTACTCGAATGAGTTGGTAAAGGAATCTTGGCACTTGCATCTTGCGAGCTCTTCAAAAATAGATAATTCAGGCATTCAGTTGAAGCACGTATATTTTTATTAAGATGTGAATCTAAATCATACGAGGGGACTTTTTCTTCCTCATCGCTAGTGGTCCTGTGGATTCTGATTACGTCAACAGGATCTTTCAAAACATTTTTATTTTCTTCACGATTTGAAAAATAAGGATTACTTCTGGAAGAAAAAACTGGTTTATTATTCTTAAAATTATATTTAATGTTGCTAATAGAAGTGCCATCAAGTTTATTAGGAAGGTGTTGTGAAGAATTTGTAACTCCGCCATCATCTCTCTCCTCTTCGCTGGTGGTTATATCTGCACTAACGACCTCTATTGAACTTTTCGAAACCTCTTGAATGTCTTCACGATCTGAAAAAGAGGAAGACTCATTGCTAGGAAGCTCTTGTGAAGAATTGCTATCTCCGTGATAATCTTCCTCTTCTTCACTATTGGATATATATCTGTCTATTGGATCTTCCGAAATACCTTGAATTACTTCATGTTCAGAAAAAGAAGAATCGCTTCCAGAAGAGAAAAGAGTATTTTTTTTCTTGAAATATCTTTTAATGTTAACAAACGAATTTGAAATATTATCAATTAAATTAGAAAGTCGAGTTGAAGAATCGAGAACTTGTTTAGCCTGAGATTCAGCTGTGAAGACAGAGCCATCATTACCAGAATTATTTATCTTAGTTTCATTATCGTTCTTTAAAACAATCTTTGTTTCATCGATGGATAAACTGCTGAAATTTATATCGCCAACATCACCTTCTCCTCCTGACGAGGAATGAAGATTGCTGATTGAACTTGATTTTTCGATTGAAGAGTCTTGATATGTCTTCGCATGAGGTTGGATGAAAGAAGAAGCTGCGCCCAGAAGAGATGTCTTACTAGTTTGAAGTAATCCAGTGTCTGATTGAACATTATCACAACATTCATCAGTTGATTTAGCTTTATGATGAAGAGAGCACATAGTAGGGTTACGTATAATTAATTAATTATAAATATATTACATCAACAAGGACTGCTCCTTTATCAATTTTTTTCGAGGTTTTGTTTTGAGTTATAGACTTAATCTTGATTACATCAATTTCTCACCATCAAGATAATTCTTTAACCAAGAAATAATAATCATTAAAAAAAAAAAATTATTAACAGATGTTTTTATACAAATTGTATAGGGGACTCTACATGGTCAATCGGAATTGCACTAATGACGTTCCGAATTGTCGTGTAAGGTAGTGAATGAAGTACTGATGGTGGTGCGCTGCGGATTTCCGAACATCCGGAAATCAAAGGTTCATTCACGAGAAGTGGAGGGGGGCTGAGGTAAAAGTAGTGGGGGGGGCTAACCATACTGCTGGATAGGTTAGGTTACCTAGGCCTCACAACCATTATAAATTTCTGATTTTCATTATATGTAAATAGTTAAATAATTTTTCATATCCCTTGTTTATAATTTTAAACCATCTTCAAATATTTCTTTTAAATAGTCAAGTGGGCAACAAATTAAAAAAAAAAATGAGGAAACTTCACAATTTACATTAGGAAAAAAAAAACTTTAACGTTGTGTATATTTATCAATTCTTTTCCCATTTTCCTCAACAAATTTATTATTTTCGCAATCCCTTTCCTTAATTTTTGTAAGTAGTAGACGTATATTTTACTAACTTTTGTCAAAACGATTTTCTATGAGACTAACCTTATTACTAGATATGTTAGTTTACCTAGGTCTCGTTATTAAGTAAATGATTTCATAAAACTAGTTGTTTATATCCCTAGTCTATATTATTATTAACCATTTTCAACTATTTTTTCTTTAAATAGTCAAGTAGGCAATAAATTGGAGAGAAAAAAAAGTGGAAACTTCACATAAGTAATGATCAGTAATGATTGAACGTGTAAGGGTCTTCATGATCAAAGCGATAGCGGGCAATCTTGGCACTTCTTGTGACGTTCATTCATGAATTACCGTGCAGGGTCTGCTTAACTATTTTAAACCATTGAGATAATAAATAACCATTTAGTCGGTTTGGAACACTATTTATAGCTACCTATTGAAAATACTTATAGCACTCACCTACAATTAGTAAACTGTTTATTTATTTAAAAACTTTAAATTAAATTCTATCTTGAATAGTCATTTTCAATTTAAACGTGTTCATTCTGTTAAATCTTGTGATTAACTGCGAGTTTTAAGTGAAACTCCTAGCTGAACACACCTCCCTGAAGAAGACCTCCAAAGTCGGGTCGAAACGTTGGCTTTTAATAAAATAGTTTTGCCACTATTTAGCCTATTTGATGACCTATGACCGCCACCCCGGACCATCTCCTTCCTTTAATATTATATTATTATTACCAGATTTTGGTTTATTATTTTCAATAATGAACCATTGAAAACGAACAAAAAATTAAAAAAAATTAAAACCTCCTCTCAAACTTTGAGGTTTTACGTTTCAGATTATGTAGAAACAATAAAAATTATTTTGTCCGTCCACCATCCGCGCATTTTCTTCGAAAATACAGGATCGATTTTTTCAAATTTGGATTTAAAAGCAGAGATCACCTGAGGATGATCCTCCTTCATCGACATTTCTACCCGCCTTTTCCTTTCAAAATGGTGGCCGGAAAATCTCCGTTGCTATAGACTGTAGCGCCTAAACGAATGTACTGATTTCAATGAAACTTTGCTAAAGTCATTTTCTCGATGCCCTTTAAATTTATCTATATAACATAATTCAAAGAAAAGACTCACGAAGGATGGTAAAAATTAGATTCCCGATAACTCAAAAAGTATACACTTTTTATTGATATTGTGATAAGATCTTTCAGCGGTATTTAGATTTGCTAAAAAAAATTAAGAAAATTTCATCGAAATCAGTGCCCAATTAGTAAAGATATCGCGATTTTTAAGTATTTTTGGTTAATTATTTTTAACAATAAATCATTGTAATCGAACAAAAATTCAAAAACTTAACTCGCTCTCAAAATCTGAGGTTTTAGATTTCAGGATACATAGAATTCGAAACACAAATAAATTTTTTTTTGTCCGTCCGCCGTCCGTGCATTTTCTCTAAAACTACGGGACCGATTTTTTTCAAATTTGGATTTAAAATCAGAGGTACCCAAGGATGATCCTCTTTCATCGGCATTACTATCCGTCTTTTACTTTTAAGATGGCGGCTGAAAAACATGCGTTGCTATAGACTGTAGCAGTGTATGGTTTTTTAAAACTTTACGAAATTTCCTAAAAAACATTATTAAAATCGGACTATTAGAAGTAAATGGTCTCTAGAGTTTTTAAAATATTTTATACTGCAAAGGTTATATCGTTAGTTTTGTTTTTTGAATGTGTTTTGAAGTAATGCTATTTTTTTTCTAGCAAATTACGAATGATGAATATCAACTGTTTAGGCAAATAATTGGAAGCACCTATTGTTTCTTTTCCTTTGTCACTAGAAAGGCAACGTTACTTTAGATGTATAATTGTTTGAAAATAATAAACCATTGTGAAATTCTGGGGCCTTAGGTATCCAGCCACAATCACGATATATAAAGGTGTCGTCGAGGGTACCCTGAAGTATGCGTCTCCCTTCTGGTTTCGTAACCTCACACTACGACAAAAAAAAAAAAAAAAAAAGTAGCCTCGACTCAGAGGACAGCTCTGCTTCGGGTCACAGGACAACTTCGCATGAAGCGGTCCAAGTCCTAGCGGGGGTGGTGCCTCTCGACCTCCTCCTGCTAGAAGAAGTGACGAAATATTTTTATAGGAGAGAAGGCTCTACAGTACTTTCGGACAATTTGCAGGTGACGATTATGGATGCGCCTTATAGACGGAAGAAGATACTCCGAGAGGACAGGATTGAAGTACAGTAATAAGTAAGTACAGTAATTGAAGTAAGTACATTGAGGAAATACTTTTCCACAGTACAGTCGAGGCTTCAGTCTAAGTGGGTCCTCCCGGACTACTGGATTTCCCAGTTCCTCACGGGGCATGGAGGATTTCGAGCTTAACTTCAGGGTCTGGGCATTGATGTAGATCCTCTATGCCCAACCTGTAATGTCCCGGAAACTGTAGAGCATGTGGTCACGACCTGCACCGCATTAGAAACGTTAAGAGCGGCTATGACAAGAGCTGCGGGAATATCCTCACTGAAAATGAGTTTCCTCAGTTAGTCAGCGAGGAAAATTTCCTACGGTTTAAGCATTTCATAAAAGGATTGAAGACGGCGGTGGGGCCCGCTCACTTCCGTCGCAGAAGAAGAGGACAAGCGCCAGGAAGACCTCCAGGGTTTGGAAGCTAGGCCGAAACAAGAAGAAGATAGAACAGCAGAACCGCTAGGCGTGTGAACATCCTTGCACACCATGTTATGTAGCAGTAGTGTGTTATTAAGCATTCATGCAGGTGTTTGTATTGCCATAGTGGCATGGGAGGGTAGAGTATATATATAAATAAACCATTGTGAAATAATTTGCAGCATTTTTTATTTTATTATAAATCACAATACTGATTTTAAAATGACATCAATGGTCCAACTTTATTGATAAATTTATACCAGTATACACACACACAGATGTACGACGCAGATATCAGATGTTAGGTTGAATATTAGAAATATTCATTGACTTCATATGAACAATATTACATTTATATATTCAAGATTTAATATTTAAGATTGTGTTATTTAAATATTCATCCCTGATAAGATGGACGGTTCATAGAGAATGATGTCAAATTTACATAAGGTGTATTATTATCCCAGCTAGCACGGAGGGGGGGGGGGTGAGGCTATCGGGCTCAGCGGAGAGGCCCAATGGAGCGTTGAAGTCGCCGCGGCGGGGACATCGACGGGCGGGCCAGAGCAGCTGATGCGCTGGTTAGTCCCGATAGAACCCCTCCCCCCCGGTACCTTCCCCTCTCTGTCTATCGTCGTCTTATCTCTTTCACTTAATCATTCAAATTGGAAGGCGGCTGCAGCACGTGCGCTCTCTATACACGAATACGATTAAACTACATCTTCTCCGCAGACTAAGTAGGACAGAAATTAATCCCAGTACCCTAATTATCAGTTTACTTATTGATGTATCGGTTTTTAACCGCCATTGAAATTAACTCTGCAATTTATAAATACTTACTAAGATAACTGACAAAGCAGAGGCCTTGCACCACATCTCTGCACAGCGCTCTGGTCCTCAAATTTCTTATACCAAGTGCTGCCAAGTCCATTTCGACCTCTTGGGCTCATTGTGTCTCCAGAACGTCCTCTCCTTCTGGTGCCAAACATTCTTTCCCCGGTCAGAGCAATTCCGCTGTACTCCATCCTCATCAAGTGGCCCAACCATTCGGTTCTGCTTACATTTATAAACTGCAATATGTCACAAGATCCACACAACTCATATAAATCGAACACAGGGTGTCCATTCCCCCACCTCCTCCCACCCCTCCTAAGATATTTTATTCCTCTCTTCTTCTTTAAGAGTGCAAACGAAAGTATAATTTAAATATTCGTATATTTTATGCAATTACACATTCTGCGATCTGTTCCGTGCTTCCACTTGTCTTTTGATTTGAAACTTTTCATTTTGAAGAATTCATAACCCGGTCGAAATGTGCCACCCTCAAAAAAGTGCCTCTCTCATAAATTTTGATGGCGCAACTTGCATCATGAAACCCCCTTTTGGGTACCCCTAGGATTCTATCTGTTCTATCCCGTCCTTCCCATCTTATTTTCTGCAAGGCTACAGCGTCTATATTGTATCTCCTCGGGTATTCTATTCATTTTTAACGTCATTTTTATTAAAATTAGTAAAACTTTTAATTTAATTTTCCCAACCTTCTTTTTATTGTAGATTCAAATGTAGATCGTGCCACTTCGCCCTTTTAAAACGAGTAATCTGTTTTGGTCACGTGATTGAGGACTTCCTGGAAAGAAAAGGACCCGGGTATTATTTTCTGTAACAATTTTACTTTTT